GCTTGAGCCACAGGCGCCGAGCCAATTTCAGGTATTTCAAGGGCATAAAAGCCAGTAAAAATATGTAAAATTTAAGATATATGGTTAAGGTCAAGGGAAATTGTTTTCAATATTTTGCTTAACGTTGCTTTGTTCTTCTTGTAAGAAAATTAACAATCCCCCTTAGATGTCATTGCTAATTTGCAATATTATTTATCATATCTATAGGTTTTTAAAGGAACATAAAGGCTCTGGATTATTATAAGTACCAGTCTAGTTATATGGTGTCAATTTAGAAAAATCAGAAAAACAATTTTATTTTTTTCCCCCAAAACATGACAAAAAAGGGAAGATAATTTTTATGACATAATACATGTAGTAAATATACAAGGTCTGACAATTAAGTTCAGGAACTTGTCCTAGAAAATGTGCTATATACCTCATTGATGAGTATCACTGTAGTCATCTTTGAAGTACCCCCTTGGGAAGGGAAGCTAAGAACCTAGTCCACCATTTAAAGCAATTTTGGAAGTCTTTTTCTGGAATGACCATCAAAGCTATTGTTTTACAGCAAACAAAAACATGCAACAACAATGATGAACACTACTCAGCAAGACACTGCCACATGCTGACATAAGCACAACTGCAAACACACTAATACACCAAGGTTATGAAACCTTACTGAGTTGGTTGTATAGTGCTGCCAACCTAAGCACATGGTGGCAAGTTCATGAACTTAATTGTCAGAACTCTGTGTATCAAATCAGTTTTGATACATGTGAAAACATAAAAGTTCTTTTTTTGGCTTAAACCTTTAAAAAAATTAACCTCTTTTATTCTGTTTTGTTAAGAAAATAAGCAAGCAAAAAACAGAACCAAAACCTTCACAAAATCCATACAAAAAACTTTGAATATTATTATGTTATTAAACTATACGCATGACCTAAAGGTTTATTGTAAGGAATAAAAATTACTCATTTAATGAACATTAAGGTTCAAATATACATTGCAACCTTTAATTGTATGGCTTTTAGAAAAATATAGTCACATCACTGTTTAGTAAAAAGTTTAAAAACCTTTTCCTTTGATATATGACTAATACATACAGAAAATTAGAAAATAAACTTGAGAAGAAAAAAATCAACCTATAATCAAAAGACAGATAATAAGTATTGGCAAGAATGTGGAGAAACCGGCACTCTCATACACTGCTGATAGGAATGTAAATAGTGAAGTTCTCTGGAAAAGTTTGATGTTTCCTCAAATGGTAAACACAGAGTTACTATAAAATCCACCAAAAATTCTACTTCTAGGTGTATATCCAAGAGGAATAAAAACAGAGGTCTATACAAAAAGATGCATACCAATGTTCACCACAAAATAAATCATAATAGACAAAATGTGCAAATAACCTAAATCTCCATCAACTGATGAAGGAATAAATAAAATGTGATATATTATATCCATACAACAGAATACTATTCAGCAATAAAAGAAAATGAGGTACATGCTTGAACCTGGATAAGTCTAAATAGCATTATATTAAAAGCCGCCAGTCACAAAAGATTATATACTGTATGATTCTGTTTATATGAAATGTCCAGAATAGGCCACTAATCTAGTGGTTCTAGGGAGGGGAGTTGGGATTGGGGAAGACTGAGGGGATGACAGGAGAGATAAAAAGGTTCAAGGATGATGGTTAAAGAATGAAGAGTTTATTTGGGGGGTAATAAAAATACTCTAAAATTTATCTGTGATTATGGTTGCACAACTTGTTAATATACAAAAAGCCACTTTAAAAATGGGAGAAATATATGTGAATTAAAGCTCATTAAGCTATTAAAAAGAATTAGGCAAACATAAAAAAAATCCTAACTCTATAAGCACTCAATTCTTCTACAAAGTAAACAAATACTGTTTTATAATTTACATTTTAAATGACTATTTGTCCATATTTATTTTGTAGCTATCAAGTGTATCACTGTATAATTATAATTTATTCAATCAAACCTCTGTTACTGATTTTTTTCTTTTTTAAGAGCCTGGGTCTCAATCTGTCACCTATGTTGGAGGGCAGTAGCATGATCACAGGTCACTGTAACTTTAAACTCTGGGCTCAAAAGATGCTCCCACCTCAGTCATGTGAATAGCTGGGGCTACAGGTATGTGCCACCACAACTGGCTAATTAAAATTTATTTTGGAGAGAAAGGATATTGCTATATTGCTAAGAGTGGTCTTGAACTCCTGGCCTCAAGTGTTTCTCTCATCTTGGCTTTCCCACAGTGCTGGAAGCATAGATGTAAGCCACTACTTGGCCTTGATTACTTTTATTACTATAAGCAATGCAGTGATGAACATTTTTATAGCTAAGTCTTTGTATAGCTTAATTATTTAAGCTGCTTAAATAATTTTAAGGAGCTTTAAGGAGATTAAATATTTCCTTAAGATTTAAGTTTTCAACATAAAGCACATTGCTTTCCAGAAAGGTTTTAAAAATTTATGTTCATACTATGATGATAAAGTGCTTGTTTTCTACCTTGTCAACAATGAGGAATACAATTTTTTCAGTTATTACTAACATGACTGGTAAAACAATTATTACATTTTAATCTGCATTTTTTTTTTTTAGGTCATTAGTGTTAACCTTCAACAATACTTATTTGCCAAATATAAATCTGAGATAATCCATTACATATACATGGTAGATGGGATCAGTCCCTTTATTTATTTATTTTTTTTGAGACAGAGCCTCAAGCTGTCCCCCTGGGTAGAGTGCCGTGACATCACAGTTCACAGCAACCTCCAACTCCTGGGCTCAAGTGAGTCTCCTGCCTTCACCTCCCAAGTAGCTGGGACTACAGGCACCTGCTGCAATGCCCGGCTATTTTTTGGTTTCAGCCGTCATTGTTGTTTGGCGAGCCTGGCTGGATTCGAACCCACCAGCTCAGGTGTATGTGGCTGGTGCCTTAGCCGCTTGAGCCACAGACGCCGAGCTGGATCAGTCCCTTTAAAACAAAACAAAATGGATTAAATAGCTCACCTTTCTGTAGACTGTGTGGGTGGAGCTTTAGAATAGGACATGAAAGGCAATACACTTACACTTGCTCTCTCAATACAAGGACAGAAGGCAGACCCAGAGAAATGTACCAAATGAGACACTAATACAAATAGTGAAAAAGCCAGGCAACACATAAGCTTTTTGCCAAGATTTATAAAACATGAAAAAATATATGTAAGAATCTGTTTTAGCAATGATGTTTACTGAACATATGAATGCTTTCTGGAAAACCAAAGATGGCAATTCAGGAGGTAGGTTACTGACGGAAGTACTGTGATAAATTGTTAAGGAAAATGCATTTAAAAATTTGTGTTGGTAAAATATGTTTAATTTAATTCTATTTTCATTATTTTCTTCAGCCTAAAGTCCTATTTGTTTTTGATAGGACACTGATTCTTGCCAATATATTTTTGTAATTGATGGTACAATCAAGAAACATAATCAGGCTCAGCACCCATAGCTCAGTGAGTGGGGCACTGGCCACATACACCGAGGCTGGTGGGCCTGGGCCTGCTAAACAACAATGACAACTGCAACCAAAAATAGCCAGGCATTGTGGTGGGTGCTGTAGTCCTAGCTACTCAGGAAGCTGAGGCAAGAGAATCGCTTAAGCCCAAGAGTTTGTGATTGCTGTGAGTTGTGACACCACAGCACTCTACTGAGGGTGACATAGTAAGACTCTGTCTCAAAAAAAAAAAAAAAAGAAACATAATCAGTATATTAAGAATAAATTACTTTAATAAGATGATTTTCTATTTATTATAGAGGTAGCCATTTGTATACTGTATATAAAATAGTTGAATATTTCAGACATTTGGATATTTTCCTTTAAGAATTGTTGTTGTATGTTTTTTGTTCACATTTTTCTTGCTAATTTAAAAATATATAATACTTATAAATCATTAATATATTTATTAACTGTTATTCTCTTGAAATTGTTTTCCTAGGTTATTGTTAGCCTTTTAATTTTGCCGGTATTGTTTACTAAGGTATAAAAGTTTGTTTCTGGGCAAAAATGGTGAAAGTAAGTCTGTGTATACTAGATACCTAGCATACAAA